TATCACTGACTAACACGTTGTTTGCTATAATCACAGGCCTGAGTGAAAAATAGTAGCTTCCGTGAGACTGATAAAACAGTATCACTAATAAATCAAAGTAGAGAGTAGAACAAAGCAGAGAAAGCTATAGAAATTCGTAGATGACTACTTGGATCTTAGGTAGTCAAAATAGATCACATGCTTAAACTAATCAATGAGGTTTAGGCATATCAAAAATTGCTATTTCCAGTTACTTTCTGACTTCAATATGACATAGATTATGTATTTTTGAAGTTTCCAAGATAACGGTCCAAACAAACTTCTAGGAGAGAGAGATATGTCTCCCTAAAAGCAAGAGAACACCCAACAAGACACTGTCAAGTCTACGGAATCCTGATCAGGTTATATAGAAACCTCTTGGCTCCACAATCTGAATGGAGCATGATATTTTACAGGGTTGCTAAATGATCCTTTCTAATACACCTGTATGTGGGATATCTGGAGTGAGTCAATATGGAAAATCCTAAAAATGGTAGACAAAGCAAGTCACCCTTTCAAATTATAGTAGGCCTCAAATATGATTGGATTTAATATGAGGGTTTTTTTTAAAATCAAAAATAAGATATTTTGTTTGGTCTTATCTATTTAATTCTAAATAAAGGGCCTATGAAACAATTAATAAACTCAGAGTGATGAAGAAAAAAAAAAAACTATTGAATGTTCCAAGAAAAAAGATCACAGGGGAGTATGTCTCAAAACTTTCTTTCTCCAGGCATTATAATGAGAGTCAACAGAACTGTCGATTTCTGTAGCCATGGAAAGACCCTGATAACTTCAACAGGAACACTTCTCTGCCAAACCTGCATTATCAATCACACAGAATCACACAGAAGCTCAATCTCACAAAGTGCAACCAGACCACATTTTCACTTTCTCACTGGACAAATGTCTGTTGCAGCCATTATGAGGACAATATCCTGTACTAACAACTGTGGCTGCTGCCCAACACACAATCCGGGGGACATCCAGGTATTTAACTACCACAGAGACTTCACGGAGCTGATACGGACAAGTATTAATTCTTCTCTCCACAGAAGTCGACAATGTAAGTAAATACCTGAAAAGTAGTCATTTCATGGTAATGAGCAATAAAGCTTTAAAACTGCTATAAAATGCTAAAGTTGATACTTCTACAATTATTGCACAAAGCACGGCATATACTGTGAAAGAAGTTTCTAGCCCAATGAACATACTATATCATGACAACCCTCCAATACCTGCTATGAGATGACAGAGCATGATAGTCATTTCTCACTGGGTTCTAACTGCACAAATGATCTTCCTGCTTTCTCAGCTGCAGGTTGGGAGGAAGAAGTTCTTATGGTTATCCTAATCCCCATTATTATTTTCATTTTGTAAAAGAATGCTCTTTGCACAATTTCCTCAGGACAAGGTATAATAATAAATGTGAAATATAAGTGAAATAAGTTTTTAGATTGTTTTAAATGGTTATGTACCAGGTACTTCACTAATCACTTTTATATAGCTCATTTAACTCTCACAGTCTTGAGAGTGAGAGGTAGATTTTACTACCTTACTTGACAGCTGAAGGAAAGGATGCTTCCAAGTTAATTTTTTTAAAATTTTCTTTGTAATTACATATTATTAAGGGGGTTATTTGATTACATAGCTCTCTGCAAACAAGAAATTACAAAACTTCTTGACATCAGGGACAGTATCTCTTTCTTCCCAGTATATTATTCCCACTCAGCCTTTTTTTTTATTTCAAAGTATTAAGGGGGTACACATGGTTTTAGTTACATGGATCTCTCTTCTAATGCTTGAGTCATGGCTATAAGAGTGCCCATCACCCAAACAGTGATCATTATTCCCATTAAATAGGTTTTTGCCCCTCCCCTTCTCCCCCTCCTGCTTGATTTCCACTAAGTTTTACATTCCTCTGTGCACATGTGTGCTCATCAGTTAGGTCAAATTCTAGAGGAAATTCTGTAGGAAAGACTCTTCAAGATATCAGCCTACACAAAGAATTTATACTAAGACCCCAATGGCAATCACAGCAACAACAAAAATAAATAAATGGGATTTGATTAAACTAAAAAGCTTCACACAGCCAAGGAAACGATCAACAGAGCAAATATACAACCTACACAATAGGAGAAAATATCTGCAAGCTATACTTCTAATAAAGAACTAATACTCAGAATCTACAAAGAACTCAACAAATCATTAAGAAAAAAAAAACCCATGACAAAGTGGGAAAAACACATGAACAGAGCTTTTTAAAAGAAGATAGAAAAATGTCCAATAAACATGAAAAAATGGTCAACTAATCATCAGGGAAACGCAAATTAAAACCACAATGAGATATCACCTACCCGTTAGAACGGCTTTTATAAAAAAGTCCAAAACAAAAGACATTGGCGTGGATGCAGAGAGAAAGGAAGACCTATACGCTATTGGTGGGACTGCAAATAATTACAACCTCTATGGAAAATAGCATGGAGATCCCTCAAAGAACTAAACCTACCATTCTATCCAACAATCCCACTACAGGGTATCTACCCAAAGGAAAAAAAAGTCATTTTATCAAAAAGACACCTGCACTCAATGTTTATTGCAGCACAAGTCACAACTGCAAAGATTTGGAATCAACCCAAGTGCCCATCAAACCATGAGTGGATTAACAAAATGTGGTATATGTATACCATGGAGTACTACTCAGTCATAAAAAGGATGTATTAATAATGCCTTTTGCAAGAATTTGGATGGATATGGAGACCATTATCCTAAGTGAAGTATCCTAAGAATGGAAAAACAAACACCACATGTACTTGCTATTAAACTGGAACCAAGTTAATTAAGTTTCCTGAGATCATCTAGCAAGTGAGTAGCAGAGTTGAAATTCCAAGCTGTCTAACCCTAGATCTCACGTTTTTAAACCTCTGTACTTCACTTCTTGCACCACACTCAACACAGAACACTTCTGTGACCAGATGTGCAGGTTTTTCCTCATACCAAGCAATTCTCCAACACGATGTGGATGTCCTACAGTTTAACTCAATTTTCACAATGTCTGGAGTTAATATCAGATCCCATAGTTTAAGGGCTCCATTCCACAAGAATGCCCCTCACTTCAGATGCCAATCACAAACCCCAGATTGTCTGCTGTGCTTCAGACCCATGGATATAAACTGGGGTTCCTAGGATACCCTATTCGGGTTCCATAATTTGCTAGGACATCTAACAAACTCAGGGAAACACTTGACTTTTGTTTACTGGTTTATTATAAAGAAAAATACAAAGAAGACAGATGAACAGCCAGAGGAAGAGAAGCATAGGGTGAGGTATGGGGGGTGAGGGACAGAGCTGCCATGCCCTTTCTGGGGCATTCCACCTCCAGATACCTCCACATATTCACCAACCAAAAAGCTCTCTGAACCCCATAGTTCAGTGATTTTTATGAAAGCTTCATCACGTAGGCATGTCCAATTATTAACTCAATCTCCAACCTCTCTCTTCTTTTCACAGAATGAGAGGTAGGGCTGAAATTCCTGAGCTTCTAATCATGGCTTGGCCTTTCTGGTGACCAATCCCCATATGGGAGCCCACCAAGAGCTGCCTCATTAGAAGAAAACATGCTTCTATCACCCAGGAAATTCTACGGGATTTAGGAGCTGTGTCAGGAAGCAGAATCAAAGACCAAATATTAGAACAAAAGATTCTCCTAGCAATTCTATAGCTCAGGAAATTACAAGGGTTTTAGGAGCTCTGGCCAGGAACCAGGGACAAAGATCAAAATAAATATTTCTTATTATAAATCACAGTATCACACAAAGAAAAGTAATACAAAACTGATCTCTGTTACTAAATTGCGCATATATTATCACAGTTCAAAAATCATTTGTTAATATTAGAAGTAGCCACTATTAGAATTTTTAAATATCTGCTGTAGCTAATACAAGCTGTCATTGCCCTCTGATTAAACAGCTACCTGGTTTCTAGAGGTAACCAGTTGTATCATTTGATAAAATGCATATATGCCTAATTATGGTAGTAATTAAAAAGAAAAAAGAAAGGAAGAAATGAAGGAAGGAGGAAGGGAGGGAGAGGGAGACAGGAAGAAAAAGGAAGGAAATACTTTGCTGTATGCCAGCCCTGCGTGGATGCTGTTATCCATTCTGAACTCGCTTTGTAATTTCCTTCTGTTCAATGGATTACTTAGCTGCATAAGTCAAAACATTCATCCCACATACCAAGAGCATTATAAATGGGGCTTCTCATTCCAAAACTGATTAATAGATACACTCTATATTCTTCTAAGGGACTGAATTTTTTTTAAACTCCAGGATAAAGGTTTTATATGGCACTTTTCTCATTTCCACGTGACTTACATATATTTTCTAAATAGCCCTTCATTTCAAACAACCATTATACTAGATGTTTGGTCATCGAGGAAAGACATCATTGTTAGTTTCGTAAATCTTGACAACGTACGTATAAAATGGTTCTTTCGAAATGTTGCTGTTATGTCTAGAGCTGATACTAGTCCAATGTTATATAAATGAAAAGATAATAGTTTTTTTTTTTTATTTAACTTGGATGGAGTTGCAGCCCTAGAATCTTCACAAGGTAGTATTTGTTTATAGTATATGAAGGCACATTATATATTGACCCAAACTTGTTTTGTATTGATAAATTGAAGACTCTCCAGGAGATTTGTTTTCTATTTGTCTTGAGAAATTCAAATGTCCTGAGAAATCTCTAGGTTGCCTGTATCACATTCAGGCATAATCAAATAGCGTTATTCTGTTATGGAGTGTGTGGCCCCACATTAAGTCATGGCGATCTTCTTTCAGCAATGTGTCACTTGACTTAAACATAAATATTCCAGGATAGGAAGGGCTGTGCTTCTCTCCCTCGTGACAATGACCACTTAGAGATAGGCAATATGCTATTTGGCTACTGTCACTCAACACCTCTAGTGTGTCACTGGGTCATACCTCGGTCATCCTGGCAGATGGCCTTCAGGATGCGATGTCCCAGGCCACATTTTCCATGATCTGGGATACAGATCCCTTCTGATGCCAGCCATCGGTAGCATATTGGATCCTCACAAGGAACTGACTCCACCAAATGAGGGCAATGCCCCGCAGGGCCCGTGGATTCCATGAGGACATGGCGCTGCCGTGTTCTAAATCCTAAAGGGAAAGAGAACAAGAGTTTCACAGGATTTCATTCTTGGCCACTAAAGAAAAAGAAGTAGCAGCTAGGTAAGAGATGAAAGTTTTATTTGAGTATGAATTGCTCTAAAGCATATATTATTTTGATGTGTTTTATTTTATGTGAAGTGGAGGGATAAGAAGTAGAAAAGAAAAAAGAAAATGGAAAAAATGAGGGCAGGAAATCTGTCTTCCAAGAGTTTATAACCTAGGGTTTAGAGGCCAAACATAATTAAATGGAATAGTAAGTTGTATAAGTCCAACGGTATCAATAAACCAGTAAAAATAAATGAAGACCCACAGAAATGGCCTAAGCATAGATAAGTCGGAATTTTCCTTTTGCTGTTGTTTTTGACATTCTTGTTTCACTGTACTAAGTTGAAAGTACATCTACACTTCGGTAGATCCCTGGTGCCTGACAGATCACAGCTTCCTACTCTGAGATTGCCCTCCATCACTTCAGTGACACTTACACATCAGTCTGCCTGTAAAGATAATATCTCTTTGGGCTTCATTCTCCACCCTGGCTAGACATGAGTCCCTAGTCTGTTATTTAATTAAAAATATATTTACTGTGGGACTAAAGCCCCAAAGTCCCACCAGCCAGAGACCATAACAAGCACATAAACGGGTCTTACATGCTATGGGCCTACAGAGTCACAAACTCAAATGAACAGGAGTCCAGAAGGTAGACATCCAGGGCAATGGGCCAACCATAGACTGTAGAGCGGCAGGGTCGGTGGTCAAAGGTGGGCTTGCTCTGAAATGCTTGGCTGCTCTTCAGCTTCCACTGACAGTTGCCACGAGAGTATGTGGACCCCCTGTTAACAGACCTTCCAATTTGGTCTGAAAAACAAGAAATCTAAGTTCTGTTTAGCTTTTATATGAAATCTCCCTATTTTTAAATGATAGAAACTCATTTATGTTTCTAAAAAACCAAATGACCTAAAATAGAATGACCGAGAACCAGATTAAACCCTTTAGTCTGGGTTTTCAATTTCTGGCCCTTACACTATATCATTTCTAAAGGCTATGTCTACCTCCTATAGATCTCATATCTTATCTCCCATTGTTTATACTCCAAATGCAATCAACAGATTTATTTCCTTTAAGTCTTTTTTTTTTTTAAATGAAATCAGTATTTTAGCATGGGTAAGATTTTAAGGAATTATTATTCATTTATTCCTTGGGGTAAGTAAAGAAAAGGAGAGACTTCGATAGGAGAATAGAGTGTTCAATTGCCAGAATGAGAGTTCTATACTTACCATCGCTCCCGCAGGAGAGAGAAGAACAAGTTAGGGGACATAAGAGATAATGTCTCTCTCAGTTTTGCCACCAATGATAATGAGACGAAAAGTTACAAACATCAAAGTGAAGCTGGAGAAAGACTGGCTTCTCTTAAGGAGCACAGCCAAGGAGCCTAGGATACAATGGACTCGTGGTTTCAGGACACAAGAGCAAGCTGAGCTTGCTTAGAATAGTATAGGGCTGGGCAAATATTTTATATTAACAGTCCTACATGCTTTATTCATGTTTTCTTGGTCTAGACTAACCCACAGACTCCCTTTAAAATAGACTCTTGGACTCTTAGTTAAGGATCAGTAGTTACCTATAGGAAGGCATCATTCTTCCCAGGGACTGCACTCTCGTGGCATTGGAAATGTTAAGGTCAGGGGCGATTAAAAAAAGAAAGAAAGAAAGAAAGAAAAAGGATGGCTTCAGCCCTGCTTCATACCTCCAAATCTACATCACTAACTAGTCAAAATAAACTTTACAGAAGGGATGCCTCAGATCCCTTTCTGGCCACCTCAGAAGAGAGACGGGGAACATACAGGGCTCTAAACTGCACTTGATGAACACCAAATTACAATGACCTCTGAGCTCTCACTGCCGCACAACTTAAATAGCCTCTGTTGTTACATGTAATATCCGTATGCTGCTTATTTATTGTCTTACGTTTGTGCTTGTTGAGATTTTATCTTTAAGCAAGATGTGACATGGATCCCCATGATTTACATTGTTTGACAGCCCGCTCACAGTTAAGCACAGAAACTTAGCAGTCTTTACCAAGGGATTCTGGGTGTCCCTTACCTGGAGGCTAATGTCATTTAGGGGCGTGCACAGTTTCCCTCCATAAATCAAGTTGCATCCATCTTGCCATAAATCTGTAGATTACATCTCCTCAGTCAATAAATTCTTTCAGTCTTTCATCTGTAGCGCCCTTGTCCTGACTCTAACTAGGATCAAATCATACCACGAGCTCAGCATAAAACAAAAACCTTGGATTCTCTTGCTAGCACTTAACTTTAATCACACATTTGCCTACAATAGGCATCAGGCTTCCTCCAGGTGCTTCTGTTCTGAAAGATATACAACAGCCAAGTCCACGGTGGCTGGGGCCAGCCAACCACTCACCTTCATTTACTGAATTCCATATTAATCAGAGAGTGTAATACCATAAACATTAACCACCATGTGCACATCACTGTCCTGTACTGTGGGAAGCCATGGAAGGAAGGGAAAGCACACATGTCCCCTTCTCAGAGCATATCACCCAGTAAAGGAAAAAGGCACATTCATTAACCAAGCATCTACCTTTACCAAGACCGGGACAGCCACTTTACTTTTACTATGCTAAATTAATAAATCCTCCAAACAATTTTAAAAGTTACTATTCCTATTTTACATATGTGAAAACTAAGATGGCACTTTATTATTTCTCCAAAGGCACATCACTGATTAAATGGATGGATATAAAAATCAGCAGAGGTCTATTGGAGTCATTGCTTCCTCATAAGAAAGGATTAAAGTCAGCTCCTGTGTATGTTGCATTTAAGCTCCACTTTATAAAGTGAACCTGAAAGGTACCACGGATCATCCCCTTAAACTAAAGGTAAACAGAATAGATATTGAAATTTTAGGCACTGAGTAGCAGGAGAGAGTTATAATAATCACTTTCTGACCATAGATTCAATTCACCTTTAGTGAATTGAAGGATTCTGCAAGGATTCTTTTTTTTCCCCCATGACCCAGGAAGTATGGTTTAATGTATAATTCTATTGCAGACAATTAGCAAAGAGCAAATAGTGGGTTGGGGAGAAAAAAGGAAAAAGAGCAGATGGCAGAAGAGGGGTCAGTGTTTTTTAATTGAATCCATGGAAAAATTAAAGGAGTCTCGGGAGGATACATCCAGGGCTGAGAACAGTGTTTCTGCAATGTCAGTGAATGGAAGCGTCCATATGGGCTTCCACAGAGCTATCCACAGGCAACGCTGTGTCTTTATGCCAGTTCCATTGGGATGGACTTAAGGAATATCCAGCAGGTTAAGAGAAAATGACAGGAGCTTATTCCAGCTTAAGCATCCCATTTGCTCTTCCTCTCTGGTGGCCTTGGACATTGAGTAACAACTCTGGGTCAAAGAACCTGAGCAGATTGAAACTTTGATTCCAACTCTTTAGAAATCAACAACCATTCCTGCAGGGGGAGCATATTGTGGTATCGTTATTAGTTCACAGCCTGCTATGAATACAGGAAATAAAAAGACATACTGATGAGGTGACATCAGCATGAGAACTCCCCATGCTCAGAATGAGAAGTAGGCAGAACTCCCTACTTGCCCTAAAACACACAGACATGGAAAAAAAAGAAAAAGAAAAAAAAGTATGTTTTCAAATACATATTATCATCACTAAAGGAAAATGATTTTGTAGACTTCTCATGAAACATGGAGCCTATCTAGCAGGCAAAGTTGGAAAATGGAAATCTTCCCTGTTATCATGTAATATCAAAAACATGTCAGTATTTTAGCATGTTATCTAAATTAATTTAAGAATAGGAAAAGACTGTCTTCAAAAAATAGTTATGGTTCTCAGTTTCAAAATGTCTTTTTGTATGGAAATTTTTAGGAACTTAGGTGCTATGATTGAAGAGGATACTGTATCGGAAGAGGGAAGGAATCCTTGAAGTCCTACCAGGTAAGCAGTCAGCTATTGTGATACATGGGGAAGACTGCATCATATTCCTCCTTAGAACAACTTATGTGGGCAAGGTTGCTTTTCTAAAATATGTCCGAAAGGGACAGCATGGCACAGAAATGTATGTCTATGTATCAAGAAGAATTTTTCAAAAATGCATCACATCTATAGGTAGAGTTTGTCTATCGGCATTTTTTTAGGCTAGTTCTCTTTCATAGATCTCTAATTATAACTCTCTGGGAGTTTCTCAAAGATAAAGGAAAAATGATAAAACCTGATCCAATTTACATTCCTCTGAAAGGCATCCCAGCTTCACCTGACAAGTGCAAACCTGCCCAGCACCGTTCGCCTGTCTGGCTGTCACCAATGCGATGGAAGGGTGCGAGGGCTGTGTGCACTGCCTGATTTTCTGATGTACTCTGAGTAGCTGACAGCCACAAACCTTAGATGATTCCTGATTGAAGAGTTTCTAAATATAAAAGTCATGTGAAGACAATTTCCATAATAACTAATTTCTTCTACTGGATAATAAAACATTTCCTACTTTCTCATTATTTTCTACTATTTTTTTGTATGTTAACAAAGGAAACGTACCAAAGTAATAACATGATAACTGGGAAGGACTAGTGAGGAGAAAAAAGGAATTATCTCCAAATTTCCACATTTATATTTTGCTGTTGTTTGCTTATTTTCCCCCCAATCCTTCACTTTTCTTCATGTGTGTATGTATGTGTGTGTGTGTGTGTGTGTGTGTGTGTGTGTGTGTGTGTATTTTAAAGAGTATGAGATATCTAGAAAAGCATAAATTTCCTAGATTTCTGCTAGTGGGTTCAGTGCATTTGAGAGCAGGGAATTCAAACGTGAGAATAAACACCCCTGCTTACATACAGAATTTTGCAATGCTTAATGCACTTGCCTGTGTACCCCAGCCTCCGTGGAATCCTAAACTACATTTAGTTTGCACCAGTCAGTGACTCTGGTGGAACCCACGGTAGGATCATGGGACAGGAGCCAAGAATGAGGGGATCTCAGACCTCACGCTCACAAGTTAGTGGAAATAACAAGATTACTTATCATCATCACAACACGCTTGGCCTCCTTGTAGGCACAGAATCATTTCCCTAGAGGGAAAACTCTACTCTTAATTCCTCCCAAGAGGGATTATAGGCAGGTGGTCCTGACAGGTATTAGCAAGACCTTAAACACCCAAATTCTCTCTGCTCCTGGGAAGCGTTTATAAAATAGCAAACTCCCAGACCTGAATAGCAATCATGGAAGCTTACTTTAACTCCTGTCTGTGACTACTTGTTGTGGAGAGTGGGACTTTTAGCCTTAGTGTGGTCCCTATAAAACAGAGGCTAATTCTCATCAATCTGAGCATGCCCCAAAACTCTATGGGAAGCTGTGGGCACGCTACCACCTTCAAGTAAGAGGTTCTACTGCCTCCACCCTTTCCTTGGGCCCCATAGGCTGAGCTTCCCTTTGAAAAATTGTTGTCAGGAGCAAAACACTCCCCTTCCCTGTTATCTGGTGCTCTTAAGTGTTTCTTGGCACAACCTCCCTCCCTCCCACAACTCCGACAACAACTGCAGTCTCCTTTCCCACTTCTTTGATGGAGATGAACTGGCACTAAGATGCATCTGACACCCAACTCCTGATCTCCTACATCAGCTCAATGATTTGCTCTCAAGGGTAATGGTTCACACTGGCTAGGGTGGTACACAGGGCTGGACTGCACCTTGGTCCAAACTTCTTTAGGTCCATGGAGGAAATGAACTAAAGGAAGCCTAGAGTCTGGAGGCACATTGAACCGAGCCAGAAAACCTTGTCCTGGCACAGGCTTCACCACTACTAAATCACTGTGGGGGTTTACACAAGTAACTTTACTTCTTTACACTTTTGGCATTTTATGAAATGTCGTATCCTTTATTGAGCCTAACTGCTGATGCAAATTTGGGTGGTGCATTGGTTTCCTAAAGCTGCCAAAACATAGTGCCACAAACTGGGCACTTTACAATGTTACTGCCTCACAGTTGTGTAGGCTAGAATCCTGAAATCAAGGTGTTGCCAGGGCCATGCTCCCTGTGAAGGCTTTGGGGAAGGATCAGTTCCAGGTCTCTCTCCCAACTTCTGGTGGTGGCTGGCGATCCTCGGCGTTCCTCGGCTTGTAGGGGTATTTCTAACAATGTCTGCCACCATCTTCATATGGATTTCTCCTTTTGTCTTCTGTGCCTCAGTGTCCTCACAGAGTACTCTCCTTTCTTGGCATGTCTCTGTTCAAATTCTCCCTTTCTTTTAAGGACATCAGTCACCGGAATAGGGCCTATCCTCATCTAGTGTGACTTCTTCACTTAACTACATCTGCAATGACCCTATTTCCAAATAATGTCACATTCACAGGTACCAGGGTTAGGATTTGAATGCATCTTTTGGTGGATACAATAAACCCTCAACATGTGGTGTGTAATGAATGATGGACCAAGGTGTATTTGCAAGAGTTGACTTATACCATAGAGGAATAGGGGCCAATGAGGAGAAAGTCTGGGGCAAATGGAGGAGCAGAATGTTGTGAGTTTCCCAGCTGAGTTCCATGGGCTGGTTCTGAGTTATATGGAAAAGGAAGACTGAACAAAAACTTAAAGGAGCAGTTTTTCACATGAGTTTTGTAAAACTTTGGGCTTAATGGACAAAAAGCACAACGCAGAATTAGGAAAAGGAGCATTCTCTGAATTGCTGTAGAAAACCTTTGGCTCAGAACAAAGAGGACAAAGCATTTAATAAACATCCATGTCACAAACATCTGCTAAGTCTTCTCTCACAACTGCTTCTACATTCTTGTAGCACCCCCTTCCCCCAGTCAGAGCTGGTGGTTCAGAGAGGAGCACATGAAACAAAACAGCCAATAAGATTCAATTCCAGGACTCTTTTTGTAACTATTGGGGAAGACATTTCTGTCTACTTTATGTATTGCCTTAAATTGAACTTAATGCAGAGAAAAGTAGAACCAAGAGCTGGAGAGATAGAGAACTGGAAAGGGAGAGAAAGAATTAGAGAAAGAGACTAACATGTTGGCCTTGTTCATACTTTTGGATGTGGTCCTATCTTCCCTTCTGTTTTAGCTGTATGTCACCTATAACCAAAAGTATCCCAAATAATATGAAGCCAACTTGGTCTGGTGTGGGTGCTATGGCTTTAAAGGCAGATGAAGGCAGCACTTCATGCAGCAAAGTTGCGGCAGCCTGGACAGCAACAGCCACAGCCACAATGACTGGGGGAGCCTCCGCCCAACCTCATGTGATTTTCCAGACAGTGGCATAAACAGGAGTGGAACAGGTTGAACATAAGAGGACTGGTTCTAAGAGCATATGAGTCACCCTGAGGGTCTCATAGGCAAGGACAAGCAACTTCCAAGGTCTGATTATACATGTGTGGATCACAAGACTGTGGGTATTAGTTTTAACAGGAACTTATCTGTGTCCATAAACTGAAGAGGCCCCCGGGACGTTCTGGTTACATTGCATAAGAGAATTGCACAGGTGCCACCCCCTCGTCCCCGGTCTCCGCTGACATCCAGATTTCTGATTTAGTAGAAGAATGAAAGTTAGTTTCTTCCTGCCTGAGACTCAACACACATCTTCCTTTCTACCTTAGAACAAGGGTCAGAATAAAAGCCCAGGGACATGGGCGGGTGACCCCGTGTGTGTATATGAGCACTCCGGGGATTACTGAAATGTGGGTTTTCAAATGGATGTGGCATTAAGCTGTGAGCAGAGTGCCGGGCACGACAGCATGGCAGCATCGAGTGCTTGGCCATGTATTCTTTCTCCGCATGCAGTAACTAGGATTATTGCTTGGCAAACACAACCTAGCTTCCAGAATATCCCTGGGTTTCATTCCTCTCAGTAAAGAAAATATTACTTTTTAGCACTGCTATTTAAGGGAACACAACATCAGCAGAAACTAAAGGGTCAATGAAAGAGAAAGCAAGATATCACTGGAAATAAACTTTTGAAGATGAAAATGTGCATTTTCACCACAAACCAAAGAAAACAAGGCCACAGAGGCCTACGAAATTAAACAGGAATAATGAGGCTGAAGATTTTTCTTTAGGCCTCCTGAGGACAACATCAAAAAGTAAACAATATACATAATGCTCCTTGTAAAAATCAAAAATATAACATCAGATGTTAAATGTGGAAATCTACAAATAAATAGGTATGCAACACAGTTGCCTTCTGATGTGATGATAGAAATCATGTCTAATTTCTGCAGTGTAACCATTATATGTAAAAGCACTAAGTTATGCCAAATAGAGTAATAGTCACTTCATCAGCTACGAGGCTAACTGAAAGGCTAATCAAGGTCGAATCCTGTGCTCCACAGGAATGTCCCCAGTTGCCTCCCTAACAAGCGAATACTGTCAGGCTTGAGCTGCTTATCTAAATTTCACAAACAAATATTGTCTTAAGGAGGCTTAATCAGCGACTTAGCAACCAGAATAAATGTTTGTACACTGGAAGTAAACCAAGCACACACAAACAGGGCACTCACCTTTTCTCCCCTGAGGATCGCGGCAGTTTTCGTGGACGCAGGGGCCCCAGGCTGACCAGGCTGATACTATGCAGTCGGTAGAACAAGGGACGTTGCAGAGCTGAGAGGCTGAAGGGGCAGGTCCCATGCACAATGTCTTTTCCACAGGTCTAGAGACTGAAGGACAAAGAGAAAATGGCCCACGTCATCCTGAGCATTGTTTCTGTCTTTATTGGCATCTCTCCTTTGCCCACACCAGCTTTCTGGTTAAAACCACGTATGCAAACAAAATATCAACGCTCCCCACCACGCATTGCGTGGCTCCACGTTATTAGTACTTTGGGTGAGGAAAGGCAAAGAAGACAGAGGCAAAGGGCAGGTACTTGAAATTCCTGCTTCGCAGAGTATTCCCTGGGAATCCAAGAACTGGAAATATCATTGATACAAATTATCTAGAGTTACGACTTTTTTAAAAAAAATTAAATGGCTTTGCGAAGTTTCAAGATGAGTCTATCTCGACTATATAAATGACTAGGTCACTGTGAAAAAATCAAAATCGAACCCCTGAGGTGGAGTGTTTAACATAAGCAATCTACTGCTGTGGCTCCCTGGAGGGGCGGAGCTGGCGGAGACGCAGAAGAAAAATGGTTCTTAGAGTGAGGAGAAAATTCAGGATCTGTGACCACAGAACCGGCCCCTGGAAATCAGTTTCATTAGGGACGCCATCCAGAGGCCCAAGGCTCCTGCTGGGGATGACAAAACTGGTAGCTCCCAACTCTTCCTGGCATGCACCTGCACTCAGAGTGGGGCCAGAGCGGGTCACTTCTGGAGGCAGCAAGTATCTCCCATCGGTGGCATGCACCAAGTGTCCTCTGTGTGCACACCCATTCTGGGCACCACGAGATGACACAGACAAAGGAGAAGACAAAATCCTGACCTTGTGGAGATTACAACATAACAGGAGTTAGGACAGCAATACTTGAAAATGGCACACTCAATGAACAGCCAAACGCATAACTAATTCCTCTTGCACAGAGTGACCCCATATTCAGAAGACTTTGGAGCAATCCAGAGTTTTTGAGCAAATGGTTAAAGTCTAGAAGATATTACCTTAGGGACTAGCTTGTACTATTGTCTAAATATTCCCTATGTATCATTTCCATCCAGTTAAGCAGAATAGAAATGCCTCCCTGGTAGAGACCTGTGTGAGAGGAGGTGAATCATACCATCCACTTTGCTTCCTCAGCCTTGACATATGTGTAAGCGTCAAATCTGGTAATGGTGACAGTCACTCGCAGCTCTGACCAGCAGGACTTTGAACACAAACAAAAACAACTGCAAAATCAAAAAATGCTGTCGTGACAAAGTCATAACCCGTGGGGGAAAAGTGTTTCTAATGAACAATGAGACAGCTTGAGCTGCTTATAGGGGTGAAAGAGAAAAAGAGAGCACGAAGGAAAATAATAATAATGTTTTGTTTTCAATTCATTCTCTTCCAGTTTACCAAAAGGATTTGACCTGTCTTAAAATAGGTAAGGGCAAAGCAAGACTGCCAACATAAATGTTAAATTTTGCAAGCCATGCGGAGGGAGACAGAGAGAGGAAGAGAGGACAGATATTAGGGGAAAGGTCAGGGGTTGCCCAGGGAGGCTGAGGAGAGGTTGTGATATCAAAGATTGTGCTAGAAATGACAAGAGTGGCATGAGGAGCTGGAGTGACCAGAACTGGTGATGTGCATATGAACTGATAAACCATCTGTAAAGAAGTACCTGAGCCATGGGGAGGATTTGTGATTCCCTCCCCAGGAGTAAAGAAGACAAAGTGCACAAGATAGCCATTCCTTGAGCAAAGCATGCATTCACTCCAAACCTCTGCGCACCCATCTAAAGCGGGTGCTCTTGGGATGTGTCCGGTTACAAGGAGCTCTCAGTCTAAAAGGGTAAGTCAAGAAGCACATTAACAGAGTTGATGGAAAGAGATGTGTCAGAGCTCCATATAGGTAGAAAGCTGCATAACTGGATGTCTTAAGGCAAAAGTGTGTTTGGGTCTGGTCCCATACAGGTCAGCACATGTTCTCACAAACTCTAACTTTACTTCCAGAAACAAAACGTTGGTAATGATGGAAAAGGAAGTGTGATATGTAAGCGGGTTGATCTAGTTATTTAATAAACATTTATAATGCATGCCAGGCATAGGCATGATGATCTGGACAGCTAAAAAAAAAAAAAAATATATATATATATATACATATATATATATAGAAAAAATTAGCCGGGCATGGTGGCGCATGCCTGTAGTCCCAGCTACTCGGGAGGCTGAGGCAGGAGGATTGCTTGAGCCCAGGAGTCTGAGGTTGCTGTGAGCTAGGCTGACGCCACGGCACTCTAGCCCGGGCAACACAGTGAGACTCTGTCTCAAAAAAAAAAAAAAAACACATTAATATATTTAACCTGTATAACTTCCCTTTCAGATATATGTTATTATTATCTCTAGTTTTATAAGGAGTAAACTGAGGCACAAAAGTGTTTGCTCGTAAACCCACACCCCCAGCTAGCAAGCGGTGGGGCTGGGATTTGGATCCAGGCAGGCTGGCTCTGGAGTCTTTCCTCTTAACCACAGCCCTGTCTGGTCATCCAACCTATAGTAAGTGCCTGGCACATGCAGGGCACTTCTCTGGGTGGCCTCAGACCCACACAGTTCTCCCCCTTTTCTTTCTTGTAGTTCTCAAGAATAACTACAGAATGAGCTGGAAATGAAACATCCTGAGATAAAATGGGAGCTGGTCAAAAGAGCCCAGGCACCATTCCAGCCCCCCAAACAAGATGCCCTTCAACACTTTAGCACAGCATGTCACATTCCCTCAAGGTATAAAACTCAAGGTGGGCCACTTTCCAGGGTTCCTCATCTGTGGTGCAAGTGGGGCATGCACAGTGGAGACCCCACCTGCCCTGAGTGGCTTTCTGTGCCTTGGTGGGAGCAGCTCACGATGTATCCTAGGCTTCTGTTGTTGCTCACGCCTATCTGTAAGTAATAAATCTGCTCCATGTAACTTGCTGTTCCATCTCACTGTATCCAGACTTGTTGGTAATTGGTGCACAGGACCCCTGCTTCACACCATGTGTTAACACTGTGGTACGTGCTGAAGCCAGAACAGCAAGTAAAACACACAAGGTTTCTGCCCTCCTGGAGTCCACACTCCAGCACGAGTTGATACTAATCATAGACGGGTCCATGAGCCTGAACAAGACTAGAAAGCTGCACTGCTTGCTGTCCCTTTTCCCTTGCCATGACAGTCTCCCTCCACCATCACACAGACTTAAGCACCTGATGACCAATGCTCGGAAGATACCCCAAACCTCTCAGCCCCGAGACACAGCAGACAGCTGCTGCCACAACCTCCATGCTTGGCGTTGCACCCTGCAGTTAAAACTACCCAACCCACCAGAGCAACTCCCAGGCACACAGTGGGCTCTCACTAAAGCTCACCTGAAGCCGCCAGCATGCCTGTGCAGAAAAGGCTTCCAGGTGGCAGTGCAGCTGGAAAGAGACTGGGGAACATGTCCTGAAGCTGCATTCGTCAAGGACACTGTTTCGACAGAGGTATTATGCTTATTTGGCTTATTTTGGGAGGGCTGTTGAAGATTATTAGGGTTGTGGGGTTAAGTCCCTCGAGGTCCCCTTTGATAAATACTTAACTGTCAATTAGTTGACTGTTGAACATCAGAACCAATGGTACTCCTCAGATTGGAAAGTAGGAAGGACATGGTTTGTGGGAAAAGAGCAGGGAGGGACTTCTCTGGGGACTACTAAGTGACATATTGGCAACCCAGGGGTAGGAGAGAGACCATTTGTCAGAGCAGTCACGTCTCTTCTGCACCTGCCGCTTTGATGGACAGTGAATCTTAATCCATGTCAATAAATTCTTCCTGTCCCTGGTGACATGTCTAAGATGCTTCATTTAGGCACCGAATCGATGTGCTTGGGTTAACTTATCCCTATCACAGACCCTCTACTCCCACCCCAGGCTAAATTTGCTCTAGAAATAAATCATGAGTAAGTCACAAAGCACTTACCAGCTTCAGACCACTTAGCGAGTCACCTTCCTGAGAAGAGTGAGCACAGGATATTCCTACACCTATTGACTGTCAGAGCTAGAGGGAGCTTTAGAGCTAATTTAGCTTATTTCATCAAGTTTACTGAAAAATCAAGCTCCGAAGACTTCAGGTGGTTCATTCAGGCAGTTCAGAGCAGAGCAAGAGCTGAGCCTTGTCCCAAGAGGCCAGCTCACCTCCACCTGTCCTTCTTGGTCCTGCTTCCATGGAATGAAAGCATCAGACAGGACAGATGAGGTAATTTGTACCAAGGATATTTTGTTCATGAATCACAGTGACCAGAACTGGAGGCAGCCAGGGACAGGACAGGTCCAAAGTATCCATAAATCCTCCAGTCTCTTTAAATAAATTTAACCCTTTAAACACTTCATACCTTTAAACGAAAAAATCTTTCCCCTCCTTCCTTGCTAGTGCAAAACTCCAACCCCTTCCTCAGATTTTCCCCACCAAAAAAGAAGTAGTGAGACCAAAATTGGCTACACTTCAAATGACTATTAACTTTTTTTGTTTGTGGTTACTCATTGGGAAATAAAATTATCTCAGGAGGTGGGTGGTGTGAAGGATTCCCTGGGTCAACTGGAGTTGGACGGCGTATGCAGTTTACTCTCTAACGAGTCTTCGTTTCTCCTCGGCCAAACTCTATCCATGACGAATAGTAAGAATCACTACTTTTCTGTTCACTTGCACTCCTTCCTCTGAAACTACTGCCTGAACGACTCTATTTCTATGAATTAACTCTGTCTTCTCTAATGCAGTGAGTCCCTGCTCTAATCAGCACGTCTGGTCAGTACAGGTCTGTACTCGTCCCACTGTCTCCGGCTGCCTCTTAGACCACGTCACCTTGGAGCCTTCTGCCATTCCTGCATTGACCAACTGCCTGACTAGATAAGCAATTATCCAAGGTCTTAGAGGCTATTCAGATTTTCTAGGCAACAACGTTAGTCCCCACAGAGATTTCTCATGGCCATGGTGTTAAAGAGTCAAAATAACACACAATCTGGACAAATCCAGATCACGGCATAGCAGCATCTTTCTAAATGCTAACAAATATTACAGTATTATAAG